CTTTACTTGAAGCCGTCCTAAGCAGGATTGATATCCAAGACAACCATTTTTGAGCAAATCTTTTGCTCCCCAGACCCTCAAACAAAAACGACCACACAATTGAATCAAATGCCCTTGATATGTCCAGTTTCAAGAACACCCCAACCTCCTTGCGAGCATGGATCTTCCTTGCCACTTGTCTAACCAGAAGAAAGTTGTCGTGTAAATGCCTACCACATATGAAAGCAGATTGATTGGCCGCGACAATTTCCTTCATTTTACGCCTCGCTCGATTGGCTAGCATCTTGGTGAACAGCTTGGCGGCGCTGTGGGTAAGACTTATTGGCCGAAAATCTCCCACAACCTCAGCATCCGATTTCTTCGGAATGAGCACTATATGAGCTTTGTTTAGCTTCCCAAAACCCCGACCATCCTCCACATATAGTTTCATCACCATCGCCATGACGTCATTTTTGATGATGGGCCACGCCCTCTGGTAGAATGCGGCCACAAATCCATCCGGCCCCAGGGATGGTCCGGCGGCAACTCCTTAATTGTATTCCAAACTTCTTCCTCAGTGAAGATAATTTCTAGATCAGAAAGGTCATGGGCCTCCATCCCCACAAAATTGAGATCTAGATCTGCCTCCCTAGCCGTGGCATGTCCCGGTAATTGTTCGTAGGCCTCCGTAAAGATTCCTCCCTTTCTCCCTTGCTCCGTAATTAGCTCATCATTGTGCCTGATATGGGGGATGAAATTTTTCGACCATCGTCCATTCGCCACAACTTGGAAAAACTTTGTGTTCGCGTCTCCTTCGCGGATCAATCGCAGCCGGCAACGCTGGCGCTCAATGGTATGTTGCAGAGAGGACAATCCCAACAGCGCATGTTTGATAGTTCTCCTTAACCACTACTCCTCGGGAGTGAGAGCACGGGCCTCCATGGCGCGATCGAACACGAGGATGATGTATCGCTATGGCAATCTGGCTCTTCATATTACCTGTCTTCCTCTGACCCCAAGATTGCAACGCAACGGCCGTATTTCGAAGAAGAGCATCCATCCTTTTGAAAGGATCAACAATATTTGCATCACAGACCCATGCATCCTGTACTGCTTGATCGAACCCATCCAGTCTAGTCCGGTACATCTCAAACCGAAATATCCTCTTGGGGCAAAAAGGCGTGGAGGTAATTAGGTGTAATGGAGCATGGTCCGATATGTTGGTGGAGAGGGCTTGGGGAAGAACGTCCGGATGATTGAGCTCCCAATCCATCGACACAAGCACACGATCAATCTTTGTCATCACCGGCTGATCCCTTTCATTCGTCAATCTAAATCTCCTTCCATGTATGTAAATTTCCTTGAGCTCATTGTTGTCTA